CAGGTCTGGGGATTGAAGAAGGCATGAGTTCAGCTGGGGATTGATATTTGGGCTGTGCTGCTCTGACCAAGGGAATAAGCTCAAGTCTGAGATGGGGCATGTGATGGTGCTAAGACGAAGACTTAACCAATTCTTCGGCTGAAACTTGGGTTGTTGATCGATTTGAAATATGATGTAGGTAGTTAGTTGGTAACGGAACTGGAGACGTATGTGAAAACAGAAATGCGGACTGAGTTTGATCTAAGCCTATGATGAGCTTGAAAGTAGCCTGTAATTTGGGTCGGGATCTGAAACGACTTTAAAGCTCAGTTTGAAATTGTCCTGAGGTAGAATCTGAGTTGTAAACTGAGATGAGGTCTGATGTAGGAACAGTTGACGTTTAAACTGCGGAATGGATTTGGCTCAAAGAAGCGGACTAGACTGATAACAGAATTTTTGGATTGAATTTGGACAGGACTGAAGAGAAACAATTCAGACTGAGGGTTATCTGGAACTGAGACGTGACTTTAATGAGTTTCCTTCATTCGCAGATAAATGGGTATTTGTGATATCGAAGTGAAATTAGTAGTTGCAAAATATTTGAAATAGTTATAATTTTCTTGAAATTGAATTTACTTTTATTAGGTTTATCAGAATTGAATTCAGTAAAGTTATTCAATTGTAAAATATTGCATATTTGGATTGGTAGCTCAAAACTGCATTTTCATACTAAAAATATCATGCCATTACTGAACGAGTGATGTTAACTGCATTCTGCTTTCAGAAAGGTTTGCTAGGCCAATGTCACAGGGCTGAGGGCGAAGCAACAGTTCCACGTCGTTGTCATCCTAAAGGCTGACTGTTGAATCTTACGGCTCGACAGGAGGGCGGGCGCGCGCCTGTGGCGAGGGACGAGCCGACGGCGCTGGCGGCGCCTCCGGGGCCGCATCCGTCCGCGGGCAGGGGCCTCTCGGGGGCGGTCCCGGCTTCGTCGACGCCGGTGGGTGCTACGCGCTCTGTCGGACGCACCGTCGGGGGCCCGACGCACGCGCAGCGCCTCTCGGTCATCGAAGAGGGGCAGGTGCGTGTGCACGCCCCACGCCCAAAGCCCCAAGGCCCACGCGTCACACCACACGCTCCATGCCACATGACCCACGACGCACGCCCGAGCACTACATCCCATGCCTTAAACCCAAAGCCCGAATTCCCACGCCCCTCAACCCATGACCCAAACCTGAAGTCCCAAGGCTCACACCTTACTCCTCACGCCCCACGCCCCACAACCCATGACTTAAGTCCCAAGGCCCACGCGTCACACCCCACGCTCCATGCCACATGGCCCACGATGCAACCCCAAGCTCTAAGCCCCACATTCCAAGTCCAAAGCCCCAAACCCCAAGCGCAAAGCCGTGCGTCTAAATACTCACGGCCCACGCCCCACAACCCATGATCCAAACCTCATGTGCCAAGGCCCACGCGTCACAACACACGCTCCATGTCCCATGACACATGACGAAAGCCCAAGCACTAAACCCCATGCCCTAAACCCAAAGCCCCAATGCCCGAGGCCCAAAGTCCAAATTCCCACGACCCACAACCAATGACCCAAATCTGAAGTCCCAAGGCTCACGTCTTACTCCCTACGCCTCACGCCCCACAACCCATGACTTAAGCCCCAAGGCCCAGCGTCACATTCCACTCTGCATGCCATGACGCACTCCAAGCACTAAACCCCACACTCTAAGCCCAAAGCTCCAAACCCCAAGCCCGAGGCCGTGCGTCCAAATACCCACAGCCCACGCTTCACTTCCCACGCCCCATAACCCATGACCTAAGTCCCACGTCCCAAGGCCTACTCTCTATATTCCATGACCCATGATTCTCACCCCTCGTCTCAAGGACTAAACCTCTCTCCCCAAGCCAAATGCCCCAAACCCATAGCCTGAGGCCTCAGTTGGAAATTCCAAGCCCTTAACCCATACCCTTTTCCGATCCTCTAGCTCTAAACTTCAAGGCACAAGCCCAACTCACTAGTTTTCATGCTCACAGAACTAATAGAGTGGCAAAGTTCTGACTCCTCAACATTCTAAACCCTCTGTGCCCATTGGTGACTACGTAACATAGACCACAGGTCAAACCTGCCAGAGCTCAGAGCCTAAACTCCAGACCGCAAACACCAGTTCTAAGGCTCCAAATACTAGAAAACATCCTGAACGCAGATTCAACGAATAACCCTCAATCCTCAACAAGCATCTTATAGACTCCAGTCGCCAACCCACAGTTTGAGTTCCACTCTTAAGTTCCAGGCCCCAGGCATTCTTTCCTTTTTTCCTCAGACCCCAGGGCTTAGGACTGTTCAATGATATCACACGTTCTAAATTCAAGCCCCAACCCATGTCTCTGGTAACAATTCCCTGGTCCATTATTGGAGAACCACCCCCGTAATACCGCGCAGATATCTTTTAAGTCTCCTGCTACCAGGTGTTGCTACCAATATTTCTTCAAACTTATATAAAGTACGCAATTCATTCTTCCAAAAAATCTTTAATTATTTACAACATAGACAACGATCTCAATCCTACTTTACTTCTTGTGCTCTATGAAGAAGAGCTTATTTTGTCTCAGAAATATTACGAGTACTTGTTATCATTTTACCAAACATTTAAAAATACCTCTTGCCACTGTGTTACACCAACCGCAAGTCTCAAGGTCCAAGCAACGAAACCAACCCCCCCAACCTACAGGTACCACGTGGCAGATCTCAGTATCTCATGGCCTTGGCCCTCAGTTCCATCCCTTCATCTCCATGCTGCAAGCCTCCACCTTTCTACATCTCGGACGTTACCCGCAGCACAACTTCACCAGCTGACTGTCCTCGACAACGCATATCTCCCATTTCTGCGAAAAGTGCCAAAATTCACGTGAGAAAGAAAAGTTTTAAGTTTCTTTTTTTGTCGGTAGACTATCGGGAGTGTGAAGTAAAGACATAATTTTAGTACTGAGTTACAAAGCAGAAGAAATTCCAAGGTCACATGATAATTGTGATAAATATCTAAAAGAATATCTTATAAGAAGTATTGTATTTCGATAAAGTGATGAAAGTGAGTTTGTTTACTTCATCACACATTACTTACCAAGAATAGTTAAAGTATTGTAATGCTATGGAAAATAAGACAATTATTTCAAAGGAAAAACTTTCAATGTTGTGTACTATCTTTGAAAAAGTAGATAAATACTCGTATTATTCCTATTTGTAGTTATTTTTCTCATACACGTTGGTAAGAAACCGTGTCTGAAGTTTTGTGCGTTCTTGTTATGGAGAACTGGTTGAAGGAGAAACGTCCATCTGTCCGCTAGAACGTATGTGACCAATCGTAGCGTCTAAACCATTCAAACCATTTTATCCAAAATTTATGTTCCCCAAAGGTTTTGGACGAACGCAAGTCCCAGGGAGTTTGAAAGTGATATCTTGATTTCTGGGAGAACTTTACATGAAGCCTAAACATTTTAAATATGTTCGCAAATGTTGTTCGAATTCTTGATTTTTTTGATATTGCGAAAAACAATTCGTCGTCTTTCTACAAATGCAATATTCTTGGTAGCATTTTCCTTATTTAAAACTGATTCTTCAAAGACAGATCGTATACAATTTTCGAAAATATGAGTTTTTTTGTATTATTTTACGTAAAATATAAGCAACTTTTAGATAAGTATTTCTTCAAAAGCGGCAAAAAATAATTGCTTTTTTTATTTTATCGGATGGACCAAAATGGTGAAACCAAAATGATATCTTTTATGGTATCAGGGACATTAAACACGAGTCTTTTGCCGAAAAAACGTTTTTTTCAGAGACACCATTACACTACTTTCTCTCTTCTATATAGAATGTGTATTCTACGAAGTATGTGTCAAAGTAAAACGGTGTAGGTCTCATTTTTTGTAAAAAACACCTAGCAAAGTACAATACAAAATTCTCCAAAATGGCTCTAATTTTTATTTTATTTCCTCGGTTAAAGCAAGGTGGAGCGAGTCTCATTTTGTTTAAACCCTCAGAGATTTTAGAAAATTTCAAAAATTATAAATAATGCAAGAAAATATGTTGTAAGATCTCTAGCAAGGCATTTGCCCACTCACATGACCTTTCGAATTACGAGGACCCAATAAAAGACATTGTTGGTTTTTGAGGTTTCTAAAATTAAGTGCAATCAGGCAATATATTGGAAAAATTCAGTTGTGTTTGGTAATAATATTCTAAAACCAAAAAATGTATTAAGCATCTTTCCGGTCCAACACGCATTTCGTCACGGTCTATTTCGCATGTTCAGTGACGTATGTGCTTTCCAAATGGGCTTGAGTTGTCAGTTGTCTATGCCTAATGGTATCTTTGTTTCTGAATGGCAAGACGTCTGTAACTACTGACGTGTAAAGATTCCGATTGGCTTTTGATTTGCGACCTGTCTATTACTCAATACATGTATGTTTTCTGAATAACTTTGCATTTGTGTCGTAATTGTTACTCTTGGCGTGTATGTTTTTCGAATGAC